TTCTTCATTTGGCAGTTCTGTCATGAGGAAGGGGAGGGCAGTTGCTGTACAGAAAAAAAAGCACACAAGCTATTAACCTTCCCCCAGCTCATCAACTGTATTTTGCAATCTTCCTTCAAAACCATTAGAATACCCCGAAGAAATGACTTTCCAATTAAAGAGGATCTAGAAGAAGCAGGCCTTTTTATCTCTGCTCCTGGAGTTCTTCATTCCAATAATTTAAATTGGAATTGATTTTTCAATTTAGCCACTGACTGCTATAGACACACAGCAGAGGGGGTCCAAATAGAGTTGCATTCTTGAAATATTTGTCATGGCAATGTGCTGCTCGTAAATTTGCCTGGGCCCCCGCTCTTTAATGCGTTTCCTTCGCGCCCGTCTCCGGCAGCATATTTTTTCACGCAGCGAGTGTAGGCTGAGAAATCGCATCATGTGCGACCTCTGTGGCTGCGTCGTGCAGGTCATCCACTGTCCCTGCCGCTTATTAGTTCTGCAGGATGAAAGTACTTCTTTGTGTCAGCAAACATCTTACTGTTTTTTTTAATGTTATTTCCTCTGGAAAAAAAAAAAGCTCCTCCGTGCTAGAAAACCAAAATATTTAGCAGTAAGATTGGTTGTCTTGTTACATATATTTGTGCAAGCAACTCAGTTTCTGGTTCTGTTGAGGTTTAGTTTAATCCCTATGTGTGTTGCAATTTGCTTTTAAGTTAAAAAGTTTTCTATCATCAGCACAGCCAATATGTAGTAACTACAACTGCCAAAAATTAATTATTCAGTTTTTTCCCAATATAACTAATGTATTTTTTTAGTCACGGTTTTAAATGATCTTTGATTAAACTACCTGTGAATGAAACACAGATGTTGTAAGTTTTCTTACAGCTGCCTTATAATGAGCATTTGTGGCGTTTCTACTCTGGATAGCGTTTTTATAAGGTCATTTTCAGGTTCAGCTTATTTTTGCTTGCTGTTTTATAGAAGGATCTCGGAAAGAGACTCTACTTCCCGGACTGATGTTTCACGCCGTTAGCAGCACCTGACAGATGTGTTGGCTTGTTTTGTTCTCTCCAGAGTTGTTAATATAGTTGTGCTACTGGAATTGTATGTAAGATTAATGGACACAATAGATGGCTGGCAGTTGTGAGGAGATGCAGGACATACTGGGCCAGGAACCATCTGTTCACTCACCTCTTTACATCTTTCTTTTATTGTGAAAAGTAAACAGAAAGAGGGTTATGCTGAATTCCTAACTTCTGTAGTAGTGCACCTACATAATGCATCAATTAGCATGACAGCATAATCATCTTTCACAGAAGCAAGAAATGGACAATGGAACTTTGCAATGGTGAGTTTTGTTGTCGTTGTCCAGGTTTTTTATTTTTTTTTCCAAACCACGCTAAAACATAAGGTTGGCGATAATCTGCTACAGTCAAATTCAGATGAAAGGCAGTGTTTGAAGGTGATTGAGTAGAGAGTTCTTCAGGCAAAACAGAACTTGGCATTTGTTGAAAGGAAACATAATCAAATTTAAAAGGAAACGCCATGTTCGGTTTAGTGTGTTCTTTGGCTCAAACATTTGTGAAGTGGTAAAGAAGCTTCAGAAAGAAATTCACATTGTTGTGCATAGCATTTTATTTACAATATGTTGTAATATAAAATGACTTAACCCTTTAAATTCCTAGTCATGCTTTTGGTATAATAATTCACGCAAGCGCTTGTAACCTTACATTTCAAATCTCAATCTGCACATAAGATTAAATCAATAATAAAAGAGTTAAAATCAATTAATACTCTAGCCTTTTCAAAATTCAGTTTGTAAATTCCATGTCTTCAGCATCTTAATGGCCTTCTCTGATTTCAGCCAAGCCTTAACATTACACTTCAGAGTATATAGCCCACCCAGACCTTCCCAAATCGCCATGCCAAACCCAGCACAGCATACTGTTATTTTCGGTTTTGGGAATTCAATACAGTTCAGTGCTGTTTCACTCATCCATCTTCCGTAACGGTTTATCCAAAACCATCAACACAACCACTACCAGTACATTGTGATTTCGTAACATATTTAACAACGAAAGCAACCTTAATTTCACAATAATCCATGCATCCATGATCCACAGCTGGGAGGCTGGAGTCAGGTAGTGGGGAGGGGGTATGAGGCAAGGTTTCCCAGCAGGGGGGCCACTACACATTCTGGGATCCAGGAAAGCAAATCATACTGGGCCTCCAATCCAGACCAATCTAATTATGTCCCAAATTTTTGGGGGCCCTTGTCACTCGGGGGCCCTTAGAATTGTCCTAACCCCCTCCCCTCACCTCTTAAGGCACCCCCAGTCCAGCACAGCCTATTTCAGCCTGGAGCCTCTCTCAGGAAACAGAGGGTATTTATCAGTACCAAGAAAATTCAAGAAAATTTCTGTTTTGGAAATGTAATGAGAGTTCTTCATGGGATTACATGAGGACTGATTGAGTTTTGGTTCCCAGTACTGTGACATATGATGAGGAAGCCTGACTTAAGGTCATTGGCAGTCTCATCTCAAAAGCAACAAAAAAATGGGCTGAGTTTTGGAAATTTGTTCTTGAATGTCTTTTCTCCTCCACCAGTAAATAACTCCAAACCCAGCCCACAGTGATAACCTTCCAGTGACACAATGGGTTTAGTGTATCTGTTATCCCATCTGCTTACCCCAAAATGGCAGCGTCTTGTTTCTCCTTCGCTACTTTTAAAAAACAATATCCCAAAACAAAGTCCTTGTTTCTTCATCCTATTAGAATTAAGTTCTGTGGGAACTAATATATTTAATGATACTTATATATTATTTGTTTAGTTTTTTTTTATAACAATTCCATAAGGGCTCTAGGTGGTGATGTGCCAACAAAGAAATATTAGTCACAGAAAATATATTATAACGTAAAATGACAGTTATATTGGTATTTCATACTACCACAATAAAAGGAAGCAGAATTGATTAATTAATGTGAAAGAAAAGGTTCAAATTTAGTGAAAACCTAAATGAATTTAGGCACACAAACTACATTAAAGAGCTACAGAATTCAATGAATTATCTTATGTGCAATAATCATTATATACATGATTTCAAAATGTAAAAAAATATCCTTAGGAAAGGTAGTGGATTTCAAACAAAAACAAAGGAGCTTTCAATTAAATTAATCAAAAATTCACCAGAAAAGTAGTTAAAAAGTATTATACAGAAATCAGAAAGTTCAGTTGGAGAGAGATTCCTTCACGATCAAGATATCAGATGCATGTTGTACCCCACAATCCGCCTGTTTCATTAGACTGACCAAGAAGAAATCTGGTCAGTGAACACTTTGAATCACTTTGAAAACATTACCGTACTTTGGGTGAAGCAGTAAGTGCGATGTGCATGAGATAATAGTGTCTACACCACATTAGCTTATATGACAGTTGACAAAAGGCATTACAAAATATAAATATGTACAATCAGAAAAATCTCTGCAGGCTGTCAGGTGAAATTTGATCTAATTATTATGTTTGATGTAAACCTAACACAAAACAACAGCCAGTATCCCTACACTATTATATTGCTACATATATTACTTTTCATTTCTTCCATTGTCATGTTTATATTAATGTTTTTATTAATGTGCCGTATCATCTCGGCACAACCTGCTACATTTTGCACCTGTAACTATCAGAACTGTGCACTGGTCGGCACTGCACTGTCTTGGTTTGTGCCACTGTCTTGTCTTACTGCGCTGTCTTGCAGTGTCTGCACATTTGCACACATGCACTTCATGTCACTCTGTCTGTTTTTTGTAGTCCTGTGTTGTTTCATGTAGCACCATGATCCTGGAGGAACGTTGACTCGTGTCACTGTGCACTGTACCAACTGTATATGGTTGCACTGTACCAACTGTATATGGTTGAAATCACAATAAAAAGCCACTTGACTTGACACTCAAGCATGGAATGGATTTGCTAAAGATCTCCAGCTCGCTTACCAGCAAAGCAACCCAGACCACGGCACTACAACCTCCATGCTAGTCATTAATGTTCACTGCATCTTACAAATACACAGCAGCTGGACCCAAACATTTAAAACGCTGACTCATTAGTCCAAACGATTGAATTTCACTCCCAAAAATGCACAATAATGCATCTGTGCACACCATAAACCACAGAAAATTCAAATTTCTAACAGGTGTACTCAGACTATTAACTGGTATTATATATCTTGATGTTTGCTTGATATCGATGAAAATTCAGCATAACATCGATCCAAAACTATAGTGGCTTAAGAATAAGAAAATGTCGTTCATTGACTATGAAAACCCTGAAATGAATCTTAGTAGAGATATACAAAATCCGTATAGCTGTAGTTGCTGATAGATATGAAAGTAAAATCTATTTCGAATACATATACAAAAGGATTGCTTTCAGTTGGTCAAAATTGTCATGAATCAGCCATTTTCATTCAATAAATAAACACAGAGGAAATGTAACTAGTAATAAAGATGAAAACTTTATTGTGATTATCCTGTCCTTCAACTTTTATAATTTAGGTGTTAACGTATATTTAACATTAATACAAAGAAATAAAAATAATAGTAACCAGCATGATTGAACTTTTTCCATTTGGAAGTGAGTTAAAAATACAGCCATTGTGATCAGATAGCATTGTGAGAATTTCTTACACAAGACAAGAGCAAAAGGAAAGACAGGGCCTTAGATCTGACTTTCCTTTATGTGCAGCAACAAAAGTTTTGCTGTGACTAAAATAAAATAAAGAGCTACAGTAGACAAAACAGTCTGGCCTTTTCTGGTGGTACTAGCTGGGTCATCTCTCTGGAGGATTCTGGGACTGAGTTACCAGGAACCTTGCAGTTCCCTCTTGTTACAGTGTTATGTATTTTGCAACATATAAGATCTCAGCTGGGCACCCGCATCTCTCCTCTGCGTTTTGGCTCCCGTTTTATCTGCTGCTTATCAGGTGAGTGAAGCCAGCAGGGCAGCTGCTGCAGCTGACTGCACTGAGCATGCGCTGCCTCTGCATCGTGAGCAGATACCAGCACTTAAAGGGCTGTTTTCCTCTCCTTCTCGTGCCCCTTCACCAGCTCGGAACCCCAGGAGAAGTCAGCAGACCAGGAATAGAGAGTCCATCCATACTGCCGTGGCACCGGCTTGTGCAAATGTGCTACCTGAAACGGTCCCTAAGCGAACCGTGGTTCCTTTACCTTTCCATCAAGTCTGCTTCACCGTAGGAGTATGATACAGGTACCAGTCGACCACCTCCATTGATTGAGGGAATATAAATTAAAATACACTAGTGGCCACAATTGTGGAAGCACTTCCAATTTATAGGGATTTATTCTGTTCCTCCAGTTATGAATTTAATCATCCAACGTAGGATATTTCTAGCATTGTTTGATGGTTTCTAAGGGGGAGTTAAGGAGCATGCACTGATTACAGTGTGTTGCCACACCCAACACACAACAAACCACCTCAGGAATGAGAACCTGAGTGCAGCCATGTGGCAGGTGATACCTCAGCACCACAATAGTCCGAGTTTTTTCTGGTGGCTGAAGTGCCAATCCTGCCACCAACCCCCCAGTTTTCCCCTGTAAGTTGGAGGACCTCCTTAAAGGGCTGGATGTAGATTAACATCATACCCTGTGGCCTGTACTACGAAGCGGGGTTACTGGCTTATCGGGGTAACTTGTCGGATTTAAGGTAGCACAGTTTAAATGGACTTCATATTCACTCACTTACATTTTGCCCAGACTACCTTAAATCTGACAAGTTACCCCGATAAGCCAGTAACCCCGCTTCGTAGAACAGGCCCCAGGACAAAGAAATTGCAGGTTAAGGGCCTTGCTTAAAGGCCCATTGGAGCAAAATCACTCCAGGCATTCATGGGATTTGAACCAGCAACCATCCGATTCCTGGCACAGATCCCTAGCTTCCGAGCCTTCACTCCAGTTTCTAAACATGTAAAAATTACCGGCAATATTTATGTAGTAATTTTTAAAGTGCAATGACAAAAATGCTAGGTGTTTCCACGATTTTGGCCACCAGTGTAAATGCCTATAGCAATATAAAAAAATACAAAGAATTAATTATTAATTACTTAGAATTCAATTGAACAGTATTGAACAGTATATATTGACCATCTAACCATCTTCCACCAGAAATTTGCATGAGTAGACTAATGGATTTTTTTGTCGTGCTGATTGTCTAACGTGATGTTCCTATCTAACTGTTTCATAATTATGGACAAAGCTGACATACCGTGCTGCTGCAACGAAAACAAATTCCACCGACCTCAGTCGTGTGGTCGTTAAAAATCATTCTGAAGATTGTCATGTACCAAGTTTGCCCACCAATCAGGCGGTGGACTGAACTTCATTTGTCTGTTTAAAAATGCCATAATTATATTGTTGATATATCTCAATATTTTATATTGTATTTGTTACTTTTCATTGGCACAAAGACACACAAGAACAATATTTCACCTGACCCATGCAACATGTATCTGCAGTTGACAATAAAATATACTATTTGGGCCCTATTGTAACGATCTAAAGTGCACAGTCTAAGGGCCCCATTTTGCATCTGCTGCCAAGCTAACATGAGTCATGTTGTCATTTTCATTTTGTTGCACACACAGAGATGCATAGCAGCGCACAAACATGCAGAAGATTAAAAAAAACTACAACGTGAAAGATCATTAATGTGTACTTAAACGTCAAAATGGTTAGTCATAATGTTCATTAGAATTATCTAATCACAGTAAAATGAAATGAAATGGCTAATTGGCAGATGAGCTGACCCATTTCCAAATCTGCCGTTATAATCACAATCCGCCAAGGTGCAAGCGAACCTGGTTATTAAAGGTTTTAAAAGACGGTTTGCCACACCTCAAAAGAAGCTGCGCTTCGCAGGGGCGTCAGAAGCATTTTGAATGTTGGGGGGGGGGGGGGACACACTGGAAAACAGCGCTGGGTGAACTAATATTTTATGTTAAATGTGGGGGGATCCAAAGGACACGTCCCCCTCAGATTTAATGGCGGCGACGCCGATGCCGCTACGTGCTTCAGACGGTGAACTTTCGATTGTGGAAAAAATAGGGCCCTGAAACGCACGGCATAAGTTCTTTCTGGGCGGGGCCAACCCACTTTAGCTAGTTTATTGGCAGAGAAATAGTCGCTGTCCTAAAGAATTGTACTAATGCTGCTTTCCATTTTCCTCAGTGGTCGGAACTCAGAACAGGGAATGACGTCACACATGAGTTAACAGTGTTCCAGTACAGAAAGTCGGAAAGCCATTTAACAATACCAGGGACCCGTTTCAAAAAGCAAGATTTCTTTCTTAGCTGGACAACTTGTGGATTTAAGGTAGCCCAGTTTAAATGGCCTTTATATTTGTTCACTTACATGTAGCCCAGACTACCTTAAATCCGACAAGTTGTCGGCCTAAGCATGTAATCCTTCTTAATGAAACGGTCCAAGTTCTAGCCCGGTTAATTGTTAGCTATTGTTAGCGATGTCAGTGGATAACTACACATTATGCGGTATTTTGAGTAGCAACATGTCCAGAGATAGCATTTGGACAATACTGTGCGTACCACCCACTTAATGAGCCATAAATAAGACGTACAGTAAGTGCTAATAAACAGTATAAAACTACAGCTTTAACTTCTGTTGATAAAGGGCGCAGCCATCTTGGATTCTGAGCTCGGAGTTGTGCTGATTCCTCTGAGTTCATGAGTCGGAATTCTGACTTCAGAGGGCATTACTGTTCAAATTTTCGACTAGGAACTTGGAATTTAGAGGACATCCCAAAAACCCACACTGGCCCTCCATGGAATAGGTTCCCCATCCCTGTTCTATACGATAGCCATGGTGGTGGCTCACATGAATTCTTCTGTTTGTGCATTGTGCAGAATTCCACACCAGGTGAACCTTACTATCACATCAAACAGATCTTTTGGTGTGTTTCAGAACTACAGTCCTAGAACAGACTTTAAGACAACAACTTTTAAGTAGGACGTACTGTTCAGAGGGCCACTGCATTCTTGAGAAAGACACCTCTGTTGATCACCTTTGATATGGAGAAGATAAATTCTTTATTTGGGTTCTATATATGTCTTTGTTAAACATTTGGTTCCTATATAATAAGGATGTACAAATGTCTCGTTTCCACTAGCACATCACCGGAGTTGGGATTTTTCCCAATCCAGAACTGGTTCCTCGCATTTCCACCGTAAAACACTGGCCCTGGGCCAGGAAAAGCTGCTCCAGCATGGTACCACAGAAAAGCTGGCCTCAGAATTTGGCACCTTAAAGTCGGAGAAAGTGAGACGGTCTATTGCGTCCGAATCTTGCAGAAATCCAGAAAATTCAATGCGTATCAGTTTTACTTTAATCTAATATCATCTGAGTTTTCGTCCAGCTCAATATAAAAAATCATGATACAATTGGCTGATGACACCATAGGACAGGGGTGCCCAACTCCAGTCCTGGGGGGCCGGAGCCCTGTGTAGCTTAGTTCTTTCCCTGTTCTACCATAAATGATTCAGCTGAAGAGCTGTGTGGTAATTAGCACAAGGAGTTGAATCAGGTGTGTTAAATGAGGGGAAACCTAAAAATGTGCAGGACTCTGGCCCTCCAGGACTGGAGTTGGGCACCCCTGTAATAGGATATGAAATGATGACAACGTAGGATAACAAATGGAACAGAGTGAAGTAAAAAATATTGCACAATACTAGCTTAGAGAAAATTGGTGTGGTAATAACATATAGTTTATACAATATAAGTTCCTTAGTTGATAAGTGGCATGGCCTTTCCATTTAATATATGTGATTAGCCCCAACAGAAATGCCGATCTTGGGTAATCTTCATTTGCACGCTACCCCTTGGAAGAAGTAACATAATTAAATTATTCTTTCACTCCAGCTGTAGAATAAGCCTGCCTATGTTTTTCCTTTTTGTATGCAGGTTCATTACATGCAAGACACCCGGTTTTCCCTGGGTAAGCCACAGATGTTGCCGGACCGCATGTTTGACGCTCCGGCTACGGCGTCGACAAACTGCTCGGTCGGCAGTCATTCAAATACCCAGCCGGTCACGTGATGACCTGGCTCGAGCTACGCTCAGCAGATTTATTTGTTATTTCCTCAAAGTTGGACCTTGTTATTCCCACTTTCAGAGAAGGTGCACTGCTGTCAGCACATTAAATCCTACAGTTCGGGTACTGATCTTCCCCGAGGTGCTGCTTAGTTTTTTCCAGCTTCAGTTATAAAGGCTATTTTTTTTTATCCAACGTTCTTGATCCACTGATCCTACCTATTAAAAAGTATATGGAAACGTGAGACTAATTCCCATCATAAAATCATCCATAATTTATTGACAGCATCATGATACTAGGGAAAAGCAAAAAAAAAAAAACAATAATAAACGATGAGAAACATAATATTGCGATTAAAGGGACATATGTGCTGTCAATTTCTATTACAGACAGAATATATGAAATGGTCAAATTTCAGTGGTGATCCCTTTTATATTTTCTATAATTCGAAAACATCAATGTCTTCAATTTATGGAAGATCGTTCATTGAACTGAAGGTTGCCTGGATTGCCAGTAATCCATAAACATGATTTAATTTGTTTAATTTGTTAAATCATTATTTAATTTGTTGTTACAAGATAAACTTTTCACAGCAATTTGTTACAAACTCACTTAAGATTCTCATTTAATTTTGCGCTGATTTGTAAAATCTTGAAGTCGTTTTAAACGTTCCTGTAATATATGGGTTGTTCACCCAACGGTCTGATCCTCTTAAAAGGAAACCTCACCACATCGTCAAAATATCGCCTAAATCCCGCTGCACCTCGCAAGACACTTCAAAGAATTCAGATGTATGCCGTGCGTAAAAATCTGTTCACTTATTATGTCAAGAACATAGTACTTTACTGGATTAAAATAAATCTTACACTAATCTATTGAAAACCTGACAAAAGGAGCCCAAGATTTCAAGCCACTTAGCTAAGTAGAGTTGAAAAAGCTCTGCATTATTTATGTTCGCTAATGGCACCGCGATGCTCTTTGTGTGCGTCAGCAGCAGCACGATCCGCTAGAAAAACAACAGCTGTAATCAAAGTGATACATTCCCCAGTTTTACATTCCTAACTGGGTGATCAAGTAGACCTAATTCCTGACAATTAAATGCTTTTTTATAGATTATCCCTATTTATAAAAGGGTTTAAAAAGCATTGTGTAGCTCTCTTTGGCAAAGAATGTTACGGTTTGCAAATGAAATACAAATGTCCAGACTGTCTAATAAGAAAAATGTTACATTACGCTCATTATTACACGCACGTACATATACATTAAGGTTACAGTGTGCCAAACTAATTTGGAGAGCAAGTTTTACTAATAAAAAGTACAATCTGTATTAATTGGTGAGTAAAATTACTAATCTTATGAGTCACAGAAAAAAAACGTAATAAAAAATACTAAAGACTTAATGTTCCATGTTGGTATATGTTGCTGCATTAATACTCTGTGTCCATTTTATTAGGTACACCTGCTTGCCAATGCAGACAGCTGTTCCTCTAAACACTGAATCATGTGACTGCAACTGAATACGCACATTATGCAACCATGTCTGAGAGATTCACTTACTGTTCAATTAAGTGTTAGAACAGCTATGGTGCCTGATTCTAAGTGTTCTTGAACACAGTGTGATTGTCGATGCTATGCGGGAGGGTTCCAGCACCCTCAGGAACAGCCGTCCTCCTGGGATTTTCACACCCTACAGTGTCTAGAGTTTACAGAGAACGGGGTGGTGAACAAAAAACATCCAGTCAATGGAACTTCAATCGCTGAATACACCATGTTAATGAGGGAGATCAGATGAGAACGGCCAGACTGGTTAAAGCTAACTGGGAGGTAACAAGTGCAAAAATAACAGCTCAGTACAGATGGTTGCTCTGACTGCACAATGCATCTACCCTTGAAGTGATTCTGGAATCAAAAGTGGGTCTTGTATGATACTAATTAGACTAACCTAACAATGTGGCCATGAAGTGTATATGTAGTAATTTGTGGACTTAAAATAACAAGTAAATACAGTTATTTATCGTTAATTTGCGTTACGCGTATTTGCCTTAACTTAGTGTATTATGTGCACTTGTGGACAGCAAATGCGTCGCTCAGTGAAATCCATTGCTTGTTCAATTCCGATAAGGTACATTAATGATAACAGTGGGTTTGGCGAGTGGCTTGGGGGGCTAAATCTCCGTGCCCATGATCATAAGGTCTCTGGTTCAAGCTCTGGGCTTGGCAGGACAGTCACATGCCAGTGGGCCACCCCCCCCCCTCCCCCCACCAAGCTCCAGCATTGGCTAACCTGCTCTGTCACCCACAAGCTATGGGGAGTGAGATTCCAATATATCTGTACTTGCGCAAATGGTAAATAAAGGATTTATGATTTACAACAGCTCAGTGTTAAAGCTTCATGCATCCTTGGTTGCTTCAATCCCACCTCTGCTTTTGGTGTGGAGTTTGCTTCTTCTCTCTCTGTTGGGTTTCCTCACAGAAGTCCAAAATCATGCATTTAGGCTAAATGGTACCTCTGTGGTTCCTGTAGCCTGTGATTGGATGAGTGGGTATGCAGGCTGGTATCCATGAAACTCCGCCTTATGTAGCCTGATATTGATTCTGTCCCAAACCATGACCTAGTCCAGGTGTGTTAGAAGATGAACAGATATACCAACAATAATAGTATAGGAGAGTGGAAAACAGTCTGACATTCACTTTTATTTGGTTTTATCCTTCAAGCAAATAGGCTAAATCAGCAAAGTACAAAGGTTAAATTACAATTAAAGAGCATGAGCATCACTATCAGGATGATGTAAGTGAATGTTCAAAAACAATAATAACACATGCTGGTTAATTTGAAGGAAACAACATTAAAAATGCTCCCTAATGCATTCTTAGTGCAGTCTCCTGTGGATCGAGTGCATTCAGTTTTGAATGAACAGCATTTTACCTTAAAAGACTTTAATTATTTTAGGGAAAAACACGAATTCTTTAGAAACCACAGTTAATTAATGCATTGAATCATGAACACAGACTTTTTCCTGTACACTGTGATTTCTTGAGAATACTTCACAATAATGCATCCATGCCTCTTTCAGTTGTTGATCCGCAACAGCGCCACCAGGAGGCTGGTACAGGGACACGAGGCAGAGGTGCACCAAGCAAAGGTGTAGCTACAGATTTTGAACCCCATAAGGTATGCCACACTGGGCCCCCAATCCAAACCAGTCCCAGTCACTCAGGGGCCCTTGGAATCGTACTGATCCACCCCCTTTATGTTACCTGTGACACCCCAGATGGGATATCAGTCTATTGGCCGACACACACGCACTATAGGCAGTGATACTAGGTAGCCTAGCTATAAGATTTTGGACTGCAGCATGAATCAAAATAGCCAGAGAAAAACTTATAAAAACATGTGGAGTGTGGGATGGAATTTATTTTTCCTTTAAAAAAAAAAAAAAAGTATATATATATATTCCCTTTTTAAGTGAACGTAGGGCACTGGACAGGAAACACCCTGATGGAAATGCCCAGGACTATCCTACCCAAAGGCTAGAGGCCATGGGACATGGGAGGAAGCGCCAGGAGAAAACCAGGTGAATTCAGGGAAAGACACGGGCTCCAATTTTGCAAGAATGCAACATTCAATAGTAAAACAAACACATACTAATGGCATGACTGTAGTAATCATCTCATGTAGCACAATTGTCTTTAAAGCTATATGTGTTATATATATAACATTATAAAACTTAATTCATGTAATATATTTATTAGTGAGTTAGTGAGAGTAATAAAGACAGATAAAAATCTATTATGTATGGAATACAACAAAATTAAAGGAACATTTAGAAAATAAATGTGATTATGGTATCTCTGATCATCACTTGATACTGTGCTGACAAGCAAAGTCCATTAAGCCATCTTCAAATATGGAAAATTTTATGATTTTACAATGATTACATATTCACTTCACAGCTGGCTGCCTTTATGCGTCTCCATTTGTCATTGAGTATTGTGTCCAATTATATGATTAGCTTTGAAAACTGCAGCACTTCGAGAGCCCTTATGTTTTCCATTGCACTGAGTGATTCACAAACAAAGTCATTACAACATGTATTCACACATATCAAATAACAAACAGATGGTCATTGTACATGAAGGCTGATTTGTTTTCAGCACAGGCGATGGAAAAAATTGGAATTTTTTTGCTTAGCTTTGTTTAATACCGACTTCTTTTTTTATAACCAGAGAGCAGCATCTGGTTGTCGAGCTTTTAAATCAGCTTGAATGAAAGACAATCTTGTTTTCATTAATGCCTACACTGTGAAAGTGCTTCTCATGAAGATTTTAAATGAGCAAGAAAGCTCGCCTATAATTTATCATAGCTTGCATGACTGGACTGAAGATTTAATTGTTTTTAATGGCACTGACTGTCAGAATGGTTCCTTGAGCTCTGATAGGTCGAATGCCGTGAATATAGGAAAGTCTGTGTTCAAGAAGCTTCCGGCCATCTGCTATTAGCAAATTTTAAAGCTAATTTAAATTGCAGTTTGATATTTGTGGAGAACAAATAGATGCAATACACAAGTATCAACTAGCCTGTTAGTTCATAATAAAAACTTGGACTTCATTGCCTGCAAAATAGCTGCTGTATGACCTGACTGTCTAGTGCACTGCTACAAGGATTTTTCAGGCAGAACAATTCAGTGCCGGAAATATGAGCTGATTGCTCACAAGTGTTATGATCTAAAGTGATTTTTATTTTATTCTCCTTGTTATGTCCAAAGTAATGGAACAATACTCAGTGGTCAATGACTTTAATAACTCAAATCCCAGATCAGTCTATCACGCCATAAAAGAAAAAAAAAAAACGCTCTACCACTACAGGTAGCGCAGTCGTTAAGGAAACAGACCAATAACCTCACGTGCTAGTTCCTAGGAGCTGCCTTTTAAGCAAAGTAGTCACCTTACATTGGTTTAGGTCAAATATCCAGGGAAATAACCGGCTAAAGTTAGTGATTAAAGGGAGCGAGGCATTGACTACACGAAGACATTTACAAAAGAATAGGCGGCTGTTTAACTGAAAACAATACCCGTTGATGAAGCATGAAAAATGGCATCCTTTAGCGATATATAGAAAATAGAATATAAAAATATATCCACTTCTGTCCTAATTAAAGAGCTGTATTTTCATCTCTGTGTTTCTCTGTTTATCTATCCATCCATGCCATTGGGTATCCTGGTCAAGGTTGCAAGGTTGGAGGGGGGAAGAGTTAGTTCCAAGCAGCGTAGGGCCAAAGGCTGAGGTTTAGTACATATGTAGAGCAAATCCATCTATATACATGTTTATTTTAAACACACATTCTCTTCCTATTCTTCTCTATTTATCAAAATATTATATATATGGTAATATATTAATAAACCTAAATCTAGTTCACTCTTCTTTCCTATACAATTTTAGCAAGATACTATTTCCAAAGGTCACAGATGTAGTTCCTGGTATAAAGACATAAAGTAAACCATACATTTTGCTATATCTGCAATCAAGGAAGGACATTGACGAAATATTTTCCCCACGTGGTTAGATTATGAAGGCATCCTTGGAACTGCGATAACACTTAAATGCACACTAACCTGGCAAAATTCCTATGGCAGTTACCTATGAAAATCAGCAGTATAAAAGGAATCAAATTATTAAGCAGCTAAATGGTGTTCTTCCTTCCAACTAGCCTTCCAGTAGAAATATTCAAATTGGAAGCCTAGTAATTAAAAAATAATTAAAACCGTCTCTTTTCGCACTTCTTGTCACTTCCATCGCGTGTGCCTCCCCAGGTCACGCGCAGTATCTCCTTTAGGACGGCCTACTCTACGCTTAAAATAATACAATATGCAAGCGTCTGCCTCCATCTAGTGGACAAATAGACGTAGAGCATAATTTTATTAGTCAATTAGAACAGTGAACCCTCTAAGTCATTTGCTATCCGTCTTCCAACCATATAAGGATTATCAAATCAAACCAAAAAAAATTCTAAGCGAACAATATATTATTCTCACTGGTGTTGGTGTGTTTAAAATCTTCACTGCACTATATTAACTACAGGTATGTTTGTATATAATAAAAGCATTCACACAACAATAATGATGTTCTTTTATGTTATTCTAATTTCTTCTAATAAATTATATTTGTGCTCATGGGCATTACTCATTTTTGTATTTGTTTCATCGTTTCAAAACGCCGTACTTGACTAATATTGGGCTTTATGGGCTTCCGTAGTATATAACCTTTGCCCTTTTCACCCTTTATTGATTTTTTTTGTTACTTTAACTTTTATTTTAAGTTTTGTTCTTGTTTGTTAATATATTTGTTATTTCTCGGTTCTTGTAGGTTCTCTTATTAAACAAATAATATCATCTGGGAGATGTTTACGACCACTGGCTCTAGGGGTTTGTGTAAGTGAATTTTACGTTTTTACTGCTGTCTTGAAGTTTGTTTCTGTTTTAGGTCTGCATTGTCATTCATTTCGCAAGCAGAACTGTAGCGAATGAAAACTTTGAAAACGAATGCATTTAATATCATACAACAGTATAATTTAGTAAGCCCACTTATTGACCATTTAGTGATGCAATAAAATACAAAATACTTTATTTTTAACGATGTAGCTAGCACTATCGTAACAGTATTATTTTGTAGTGACAATGATTAGAGTGTCATTGTACCCAATGGATGTCAGCGATGGCATTTTAGTCGTCTGTAACTGACTAACGCGTTATAAGAGACAGGGTTGTAAGCCTGCGTTTGACATGTGATGTTTTATTTTAGGAAAAGTTCAAACTCTAGATGCTTCTTGGTGACATAAAACAACCATTTACTTTAAATGAAGTTGTGATACCCCAGTCTGTAGTGTACTTTACAGATCCTGAAAAACAGAGATATGTTTCAACGAGTGTCACCTCCACTTATAGCAAACCTAAAATATAAAGAAAGGTATCATAAGTAGGGAGATTTTCAGACTTCAAGTACGTTCATAGCAATAACGTTCTTATTATCCATGTGTAAATTTCTCGGAAATGTCCCAGCTATTGTTGATTTAATGGTTTAAGTAGCTATTTTTAATGGAGCAGCTGGGATTGTAGAGGCGTCAGGAGGGCACAATATTCTACTCATCTCTTCAGCCCCCTCAGCACATCCTATTTTGTATTTTGAACAGAAAATATTACAAAAATATATGCTTTCCGTATCTGCACCAGTTTCTAGCATATATAGTGTTTTATATATGATAGTCATTGTTTTATTGTTAAATTAGGTGTAACTATGTGGTCATTGAAGAGCTGATGCCTACAGGTTTTTTGGAGTAACCCACATACTGCAGCAGTGCCTGGACGGTAGCTGTGGTTTGTGTTAATCATCAGTGTGCTTTGTGCTGTCCCACATTTACATTTAGATTGTTATTAGATGTTTTTGTCCAAAGCGATGTGCAGGTTAGATGTTAGCCAGTCCCAGGAGCCATTAGGGGTTAAGAATCTCGCTCGAGGGCCCATCAGTGAAACCGTTCTGCGACAATGGGATTTGAACCGCCGATCATGGGCACAGAGTCCTTACTCAGAGAGTCACACACTGCCCCAGTATATCCCCTCTTATTTTAATAATTGTAGCCCTGTGAGTAGACCAACTCCAGTAGACCAACCAGTTCATATCATGGATTTCTTGAACAAAGCCATGTGACCTTGCAAATCCTATAGCTCTACTCCGAATACCTTTTTAGTTATGAATGTTTGAAGTTTGTCCCTCCGATCTATGGCATTCAAAAGCATGTGTAAATAACTGTACTGTCATGGAAAGTGACCCAGAGGTTTTTTTTTTGTACCTCCTAATCCTAAGCAATCACCTATGTTACCTTTGGTGCGGACCGTCTCTGCTCAACAATACATTCATGTTAAGTCAATGGATGCTGCACATGCCCTATAATACAGAACAGTAGTTTCAAAGTCATTAATGTTGCTGAAGCTGCTTCTTCTGAAGCAATAAATGTTTCAGTGATCAGACAGTATCCATCTATCGTGGTCAAAGTCGCCTGGAGCCTGTCCCAGACCACACAGGGAGTGAGGTGCAGGCATGCACTTGACGCTATGCCAGTCCATTATAGGGATATCTTCACACACTCTCACTGTAGAATATGTTTTTTTTTTTCTTGTTAATGCCTAAGATCAGTGTTTCCCAACCCAGTCCTCAGGCACCTCCTAGCTCCCTGTTAGACAGTCCACATTTTTGCTAGCCAGCTTGGAGGGAGCAAAAACGTGGACTGTCTATGGGTCCCCCAGGACCGGATGGGGAAACACCGCCTTAGATAATATATGCTATTGTGTACTGGCAGGTAAGCGCATTAGCTGAAGGAACGTGTAAAAGCAGGCCCAAAGTATTTCAGATTAACTTATCATTTGTCTACCCAGGAATGTCACATAATTTATGTTTAAAAAAAAAAAAAAGTATATTTCTTGCACTTTTTGCCAACCTGTGCCTATGTCGTACTTTCTTTCAAAAAACTGCACTGAACTTATTCATTGAAATCCAGTGATTTTTCAGCTATATTAGCATATATAGGAATATATTGGCCATTTCCTTGCTCATAGTAGCCCAAAAAAATCCCGCTAAACTTCGGTACCAGAATTAAGCTTGAAAAACAAAGGATTTCAGGAGATATCTAAAGACACATCCCATAATCAATAGCGGAAAGTGAGGTCCCCCCTTATCAGATCAGGCGAAGCCTCAACAGCCGTTTTTCAAAAAACGGTAAAGATAATGTCTCAATTTTTTTGTGTCTTTATTTGGTATCAAAATGAAACACGATGACTTATTAAATATAACTTAGGCCAGTTTTTCAATTTTTACCTGCCAGTACCTTATGTTGTGCTTGTTTTGAACAGCCTCCTGTCTGAGAGCCTCATTTAAGAAATAAAACAAATGGGGGAAAAAACCAAAAAAAAAAACACTTTCCTGGAGGAGACACAAGTAACTTAGTTACGAATCATAAACAAACATTGTAACTGCATGAAATACATAAACCGATATGACTCAATAACAGAATAATAGAATAAACCGATACGGATCAGTACGTAAGTGACACTTAGTTTCTGGTTAGTTAATGCATTAAATGTGTGCTGCTACATAATTTGTTCCCCCTCTAGTAAAGTGCTACCCAAAATGTCCGCAGTGAGGGGGGTGCGCCCCATCTCACCGCCGCAGAGAGTGTCTCCCTTACTATCTGTCACACGCTTCCTTACCACACAGATAAAGCTCCCCTGTGTAAAAGCCTGCTGATTGTCCCCAGCGCCCTGGCCGGCCTGCTGACTCTGGCCTTTCCTCACTACCAGAGCATCTTCCTCTATAACCTGCAGGCCATCAGAGAGGAGTGCCAGGTGAGTGATGCTGCTTTCTGGACCACACTGCCACCTGTCTCCATCTGCACTAGTGTATTATGAACCATGTGCAGTCCTGCGTTAAGCAAAAGTGGAGAGTTCAGGTCCAGAAAGTAAAAATCCAGACCAAGATTTTGTTTCAACCAACCAGTTGAGTATAAAGAGTCACTGAGCACTCAACTGGTTGGTTGAAATAAAATCTTGGTCTGGATTTTTACTTTCTGGACCTGAACTCTCCACCTATGATGTAAAGTCTTAGGCAGTCAAAGATCTTCATGTTGGTGTTAAACTACCATGTCTATCCAAGAGTGTCAGCTATTGGGAAAAAACCTCCTGAAGTCACCTCAGTATTTGAAGTAACCACCCAACATACCTATGAATCTGTTCAGTCACCCACTAACTTTGCTTGTTTGGCAAATTAGTATCTCATATCAAGTTGTTTACCTATTTAAGTTAATTAATCAAATGAGCTGGTGGTGAAGTTAATTGAACACATGGCACGGCAGAGGTGCCCCTGAGGAGAGGTTTGTGAACCGAAGCTGTGTTCATCTAGCCATCCAGCAAGATATCAGTGACTTTTTGCAGAACCAAAGAAATTCTTGTTAGTTTTTATTATGTTCCTGTTAATTTGTATATGTTGAAATGTTTTTTTTTTTTGAGCAAATATTCACTTTCTACTCAGATAAACAGCATTAAACATGTTCTTTGGCTGCCTAAGACATTTGCATAGTACATGTCTTAAGGTGCATGGTGCCCACACCTCTAATGATGGGCATTTTGGAATCGAATAGTGATGTGTTATTCATCCCCATGGGAAAATTGACTGTTCATCTAGTCTAGGTGATGGATAGAATAGTGTATGATGGAAACTTGCTGACAATATGGTGCAGTTGAGTAAAGTTCTAAGGTTTCTCTGTATGACTGTACGTCTGCCAGTCTGTCTGAGGCTTTTTTTGGGACTTTCCTAGCTGTGGCGGTTGCTTTGTGGAAGACTGGTTTGTTTGGACTTAAAGGACACATTTTGCAGTAGTCTCCTCATATACAATTTTCGCATCTTCGAGCGACGCTACGGAAGCCGCAAATTCGCAGTGAGTATTCTGCTTCGCAGGCTTTCAGCCTCATTTCCAGCCGTTCCACACAAACTGCTTTGAAAATCTGCAAGATACAGATAGAAATATTGCTTTTGGAATCTCATGGAGTTAGTTTAGAAAAATTGACTGTAAATAAGAATATTGAGGTTGTAATATGTTTTTGTAAATGTATCAGATTAGAGATTTTTTCATACGGGTGGCAAGTCAAATAAAGTTATAAGTATTGTATTATTCTATAGCACTCAACTGTTGGATTCTGCATGACAGTTTTCGCAGAATAAAAACATTTAATATGAATGAAATATAGAAATAGCTAGTAAATAATTATAGCAAATAATGTTATTTAGAATGTCTTAGTTTGTAGTAATATTAATACCACAATTTTTTATCCATCCATCCATCTTCCACACTGCTGATTCTGTTTTGGGTTACTGTGAGTCTGGAGTATTGACGCCAATGGACTGCCATTCCATCCAGGGTGTTACTCCGCCATATGTCCTACGCCTCCTGGGATATGGTTCAGGCTCACCAAACCTGCATTTGATATATATATATATATATGTATGGATGGATGGATGGGAAGTTTATCAAGTTAAAGAAGGGGTGCACAATATCAAATGACAATATCACATCTCAATATGTCATATTTCTGTGAGTCACATTTCGATATTTATAAAACAAAAAGGAAATGCAATCACCCAAAATAAACTATAGCCAAACAGAACTTGTTATCTACCAGTAGAGTGTGTCAGATAAGTTGTTGGTCTTGCTATGGGTTGTATCAACAGACACAAAGCAGTGCCGGCAAGTGCCATATGATTATTGCACATCGCCATGACGATGTTGAAATGATGTATCGTTAAAGTCATAATTATAGTATTAAACCATGTTAATAACGCCAAAGCGTCAGTAAGAGCTGGTGTAAAGTGTTGCTTCCTTCTCGCAGTCTTTCCTGTTTGGAACATGGATCCTCTCTGCGCTGATGGACATCCTGCTCGTCGAAACCCTGCACCATCTTTTCCATCTGAAAGTGAATGTTTTGCCATCGGGGCTGTAAGTCAAATATTTCTTTATCTATGCATCTGGAATAATAGGCAGTGTTACATTTCTACCTTTGCATGTCATGTGGGACGCCACAAGAACAGGCCTTCTGGTGCGTCATGGTGCAAAGTGTAACGTTCAGTTGTGAGGCCTGAGAACAAGAAGTTTTATTGATGATGAAAAAAAACCTGAAATGACAAAATGTTGCATCGGCTTTCAGGATTTAATGAAATGCGTTTTATTATCAAATATGACGGTACACTTAGACATATTAAGTATTTTTCACATGCTTTCTATTTACCAAAAAAAATACATAATAATAAGTATCTTTGAAGAAGTTAATGGCTCAAGATTAGATTATACGGGTTTACAGCCTTCAGACACATTCAAAAAATTGTTTTCGAAAAACTGGAAAAGAAGGTATAGTACTAGCTTTATGATGTTTCTGTAAGCGTTCATAAATAGGATATGAGCTGATAGGTACAGGCATCGGCTAACCCTTAAATCATAGCACTGGTGAGGTTGCTTATAGAGCGTACACTGCCGGTGTGCAGGCTCTTTCGCCGTACGCTGCGTAGATAGTTCCTGTAGAGGATGACGCTGATGACCCGGTCCTGAAATTGCTTGGAGACGATATAATAGAGGATTATGTCCAAGACAGTGCTGAGGTTCATCAGGAAGGTGGTGAAGGCAGCCCAGGCACTATAGTCATGGCCGCTGTCTTCTAGCAATAAGAAGATCAGGCAGATGTGAAAGGGCACGAAGCACACCAGCACTTGCACGATGAGCGTGATGATGATGCGGATGGACTTCTGCTTCACTTTGGGCTTGAGCTTCGAGGTCCGCCCGTGGAAGAGGTTGTTCACGATGATTCCGTAGCAGGCCAGCATGATGGACGCGGGCACCAGGAAGAAGAACACGAGCCGCGCGAAATTCATGGGGTTATCGCGCTTCAGGTGGATTATGTCCCGCGTCTTGGCGCAGGTGGTGAAGTTCGAGGCGCGGTCGGGGTCTTCGTCGGTGAATAGCAGGGGCGCCGTGCTGCCCAGGGTCATGACCCACACTCCGACGCAGGACAGCACAGCCTTGCCTGTGTTCTTCAGCTCCTTGCTGTGGCGCGGCTGAACAATGGCCACATAGCGGTCAGCGCTGATCAAGGCGAAAAGCCAGAGGGCCATGCAGGGGTAAAATGTTGTTAGGGCAGCGCTGATCCGGCAAAAGTAATCCCCGAAAGGCCAGTGGTCCTTGCCATAGTATATTATGCGGAAGGGCAATAGGACAATGAAGGTGAGGTCCACTATGGCTACATTGATCATGTAAATAGTTACAGAGTTTCTCCTCTTGGTGGTCAGAGCAAACACCCACAGCGCCGTGATGTTGACAACAATTCCGATGAGGAAAATGACAGAGTAGAAAACCAGTCCGGCGTAGCGGTACTCTATGGGGACAAGTTCCTCAGACATGCTCTCTAAAGATCCCAGATTCTCCGTTGTCATTCCGGGAAAAACTTCAGTGTAACTAGAATTTAAGAATATAGATTAAAAGTTAGGTATAAAATACTGTTTTCATTTAATTTTCACTTTTTCTTTGTAATTTCCTCTTATAAAAGAGAAATATATGTCTATCACTGGAAATCCCCCTTTAAACCCTTGTTGGGGAAAAAAGTAGAAGAAAAATATGCTTTCAACATTTATGTTATGCATATGTTGTTGTTTTAAAGTCCACAAAGGACCTCCCATTTATATTGACATCTGAAGTCTGAATAGACAGTACAGAATATCATTTATGTACAGTCGAACTTCGTTACAACGTACCTTGGGGGACATTAAGAATTTGTACGTTATAACCATAGTACGTTGTAACCAAGTCCCTCAAAATGAATG